TATTACAGTAGTTGATAATTTGTGTGTGTTGTCAGTTTGAGGACAAAAATATTCCTCGTTATCGCCGCAATGTTCCCGTGTGAATGCGTGTGTTCTTGCTTCTTAAACCTGAAGCCTCTTCTTGAAAGTCTTGTCTCTGTCTCCTCTTAAGTTGGCTGAGACCTCTTTGTGTATTCATTACTAATATACAGTGTTGTATGGTTATACTGGTACAGTGTTGTATGGTTATACTGGCACAGTGTAGTATGGTCATACTGGTACAGTGTTGTATGATCATACTGGCACAGTGTTGTATGGGCATACTGGTACAGTGTTGTATGGTCATACTGGCACAGTGTTGTATGATCATACTGACACAGTGTTGTATGATCATACTGACACAGTGTTGTATGGTCATACTGGCACAGTGTTGTATGATCATACTGACACAGTGTTGTATGGTCATACTGACACAGTGTTGTATGATCATACTGACACAGTGTTGTATGGTCATACTGGCACAGTGTTGTATGATCATACTGACACAGTGTTGTATGGTCATACTGGTACAGTGTTGTATGATCATACTGGCACAGTGTTGTATGGGCATACTGGTAGTGTTGTATGGTCATACTGACACAGTGTTGTATGGTCATACTGACACAGTGTTGTATGGTCATACTGACACACTGTTGTATGATCATACTGACAGTGTTGTATAGACATACTGACACAGCGCTTCCCTTCGGACATTATTTATTTAGCTTTGTCAACCAAATACGAATGCTCTCGGTGTTGTGTTAGGAAAGGTAAGGCCAGCGGTTTTCATGTGCTTGGACGTGCCAAATGAAGGATGAATTAGTTATGCTGCGAATGCTGATTGATGTCAAATAAAAAGTCAACTTGTGGAGTGTTGCAGTTTTTATGTGTTATATATTCCTTAATATGACAGTGTTCTATCTTGCGGTTATCTTGCGATGATTTCGGGGCTTTTAGTGTCCCCGCGGCCCGGTCCTCGACCAGGCCTCCACCCCCAGGAAGCAGCCCGTGACAGCTGACTAACACCCAGGTACCTAATTTACTGGTAGGTAACAGGGGCATAGGGTGAAAGAAACTCTGCCCATTGTTTCTCGCCGGCGCCTGGGATCGAACCCAGGACCACAGGATCACAAGTTCCGCGTGCTGTCCGCTCGGCCGACCGGTTCTGAATCAAACTGTGATATGATTTCCTCTATAGATGATCACTTATCGTTAATATTATGTAAATAATTATAATTTTGAGGTAAATGGTTAAATATAATGACAATCATGCAATAACGTAAAAAAACAATTACAATTTAAAAAAAATGGTTAGTAACGAGGGCAAATTCTGAAATAAAATCTAGAGCACTTATGAGTATAATAGTTTATCATTCATTTGATAAAGGTTAGTATAATAATTTATCATTCGTTTATCATGTAAATTATTCGCACATTTTCTGTCACTATTTTATGGAGTGCGAAAAGATATGTGAGTTTAGAGACCTCTATAATAAATGTTAAAGAAAAATGTACATATTTAATCCAAAGTGATCTGCCAGATATCTTCAGTTTGCTTACTGTAGGTAGTAAATGTGGGTGATAATAGCCTACACTACTGCCCACAGGATAGGGGAGTGGTGTACGTAATAAGCAAATCAAGTATGAAATTACGGTATAACTCAACGCATATGTAAGCTAATTAGCTTCTAGATATTAAACTTAAGCAAACGCAATATGTCGCAAATAATACCATTCTCACCGTAACCAGCATTTAATCTTAATTCTGTGTTTTGGGGAAGATTATTGAAGCTAGCTATAGGTGTTGACCAGACCACACACTAGAAGGTGAAGGGACGACGATGTTTCGGTCCGTCCTGGACCATTCTCTAGCTATAGGTGGTTGCCCAAGCATCGACTGTAACTTGTTTGCTCTGTGTATAGGGGTGAGGGGGTGTGACACTTGGTCAATCTTATCGCCATTGATTCTTTTGACATCCTTCCGTGCCTGGCTGAGTGGTGGGGGTGGGGCGAGGTACTTGAAACTTGACAAAAGTTTTCCAGTTATCTTGTCTGAGCTGTCATGCGCTCCTCGCCTTGGCTGAGGCTCTCGGAAAGAGCTTGAGCATATCTGGTGTACCCTATATGAAAGGTCAACACTTTATAACTGTGTTTCAAAGTACGCAGTTTAGAGTCACTGTAATAGGCATAGTGTTTATTAGTTTTCATCAAGATCTGGCTTTCGGGGGGGGGGGGGGAAAGAGAGCCTACCTTAACCCTTAAACCGCGCAAATTATATTTTGCGCGGTTTAGAGCGAGAGCATATTTTGATGAGACGCTCAAGACCAGACTGAAGATGATAGACTTCAGAAGTGAACATGATGACCACCGTTCACGATGGTCCAATGCTGAACAGTTGCAAGGTGAACAAAACCACGAAACAACCGTTATTTAAACCAGATTCTGTTTTAGACTATAACATCAACGTGCGTTTGTTGGATAAATGTGATATGATGGTGGGGGCAGTCGAGTGTGTACGGAAAACAGTGAAGTGGACCAAGAAGAAGTTTTTCCACACTGTTGACGTAACAATGCTGAACAGTTACAATATGTATCTTGTCAAAACAGGTGGTAAACAAAATTTCCGTACGTTCAGTTTTACTGTAGTGACACAATTACTAGAAAAGTTTGGCAAACCAATTCCTGGTATACAGAGGCCCAGTGTGAACCCGGTATTACACCATATTTTGAGGTTATCTTGAGATGATTTCGGGACTTTAGTGTCCCCGCGGCCCGGTCCTCGACCAGGCCTCCACCTCCAGGAAGCAGCCCGTGACAGCTGACTAACACCCAGGTACCTATTTTACTGCTAGGTAACAGGGACATAGGGTGAAAGAAACTCTGCTCATTGTTTCTCGTCGGCGCCCGGGATCGAACTCGGGACCACAGGATCACAAGTCCAGCGTGCTGTCCGCTCGGCCGACCGGCTCCCTTTCTCCCTGGCCATGGACCAACACTCAGGCTCTCTTTCAAGGAGGCCTTTCTGACACACACAAACTAAGGAATTTACCACCAACTGGAAAGCGTGCAGTAGGCCAGCGTGAGTGCATTGTGTTCAAGACCAGACAAAAGAGGCTACAGGAACGTAAATTAGTGTTAACATTGTGCCCAGCGTGTGAGGTCACTTTCTGCTCTGTCAAGTGTCTCGACGAGTATCACAGTCTGGAGGACTTCTAAATGTCCAATAATGGTGCAAAAACGTATACATATTGAATTAGTGAATGTATATATTGAAAACAATTCATAATACATTTTATATTTCCTGAAAAATAAAACATTTTGGTGCACATACATGTCACACTAATATGTGGGTGTGTATTGAATTTATAACAGTTGTATTATAATACAACATCAAGTGAGCATATATTGTACAATACGAGTGAAAAAATAGTTGTAAAATACGCCATATATACTGTAAATAATTCCGCTAAAATAAATTCTCGGCAACTCTGGCTGCTTCAACACAGCGCCTGACTCTCCCGGGGCGCACCACGCTCCAGCGACCAAGATCTGTGACGTCATCGGCCAAGTTCTCGGCTCATTTACGTCATTGGTAAGAACAATTAAATTTGTTTTGAATTTTTCCCCGTGCCCAGGGTACACAAATGAACACTTTTATATGACGAAAAAAATAGTGAATTTTTGTTGTTGCGCCTAACGGTGTTGCAGGCCCAAAAGCCCTTAGTGGCTTAATGGTTAAGGATCAGCGAACATCTAAATGTTATGTGAACTCTAGGTCATTGTTAACTGTCTCCACTGTGTAATCCGTCCTCGACTCAAGTCCATTACATCCAGCGGTCGACCCCACAGACGCATTCATAATTTTTAACATGCTGTTCATTCAAAACGGGAATTTTCTCATATATAAATTAATATAATAATATATTTGGATATTATGCATATATATATATAGGCATAGGTTAGGTTAGGTGTTTAGGTTCTGTTGGCGATTATTTGTATTTGTAGTACGTGGGTGAAGCATTTACAGCGTTGTGGTTCGAACAAAATTCGTCAGTGAAGCACTAGTTCCGGAAGTGTTCGAACGAAATCAGTTGTGAGTCGTGCAACTCGTCCTCGACTCAAGTCCATTACATTCAGCGGTCGACCCCACAGACGCATTCATAAATTTTAACATGCTGTTCATTCAAAACGGGAATTTTCTTAAGTATAAATTAATATTATAATATATTAGCATATTGTGTATATATAGGTATAGGATAGGTTAGGTTAGGTGTTTAGGTTCTGTTGGCGACTTTTTGTATCTGTAGTACGTGGGTGAAGCATTTATAGCGTTGTGATTCGAACAAAATTCGTCAGTGAAGCACTTGTTCCGGATATGTTCGAACGTCAGCAGTTGTGAGTCGTGTGTAAACCGCTATTCATTCATAAACTGGGGGTTTGGCGGGTGCATGGAATCACTTTTGGATCTTTGTTTGGAGGACGGGCTGGAGTCGTGTGTCAACCCGCAGCCCGTCCTCCAAACAAAGACCCAAAAGTGATTCCATGCACCCGCCAAACCGGCTGTTTATGAATGAAAAACGGTTTACACACGACTCACAACTGATTTCGTTCGAAAACTTCCGGAACAAGTACTTCACTGACGAATTTTGTTCGAACCACAACGCTGTAGATGCTTCACCCACGTACTACAAATACAAATAATCGCCAACAGAACCTAAACACCTAACCTTACCTATGCCTATAACCTTAGCATATGTACAGTATGCTAATATATTATAATATTAATTTATATTTGAGAAAATTTCCGTTTTGAATGAACAGCATGTAAAAATTTATGAATGCGTCTGTGGGGTCGACCGCTGGATGTAATGGACTTGAGTGGAGGACGGGTTGCGTGTGTAAACCGTTTTTCATTCATAAACAGGAGGGTTTAGCGAGTGCATGGAATGGACTTTGGTCTTTGTTTATAAGGACGGGCTTATTTCCGACATACCAAATGACACTGCTGCCAATAACCCCCCCTCCCCCCCCCCCCACACACACGCAGTGATATGCTGCGTGCCTCCGGCGTCCGCACTCACTCTACCACCAGCACTCACTCGGGCAAGAGCTGTCTCCTCTCTAGCAGTGCCATGTCAGGTTAGTGTTCTCTGCAGTCTTGATCTCATCAACTTAAGTAATTATCAGTGACATTATGTAGCACCATTTTAGTTACTAGCGAAAGCTAGGGGCCAGATACACGAAGCAGTTACGCAAATACTTACTAACGTGTACATCTTTCCTCAATCTTTGACGGCTTTGGTTACATTTAATAAAAAATTCACATGAATGAGAACTTCCCAATAAACTGTTGTTATAAACGACCTCCTTGTGCTTCGGAGCTAATTAACTGTTTAATAATTGTAAACAGAACCACCAAAGATTGAGGAAAGATGTACAGGTTCGTAAGTGCTTGCGTAACTACTTCGTGAATCTGGTCTCGGATACCAGAGCAAGTCAGAACATCAGAAGCATCGAGAGACGCACAAAGGTCATTACAGCTTAGTTAAGGGATGAACGGGGAACATAATTTACGGCCGTCTTTGAAATTTGGGTATTCAACAAGGTGTGGAGGTTAGTTTATTTGTTAAGCACCCCCTACCCATCCTGTAAGTTGTATGATGACTAAACCACACGTCAGACGATGGGGGGGGGGGGGGGGAGTGACGATGTTTCGGTCCGTCTTAAGTCATACGTGTGGGGAGGTTACACCTACCAAACGGGGTATAATTAACATTGTCTGGTATTGGTATTAGTTAATTTTGAATAAAACGGTTAAACATTCCTTGAAATATATTTTTTTTTAACAGGGTTGTCTCTAAAATCATTTGTTTTCGCACTGGAACAAGATAATTTGGGCCATAAGCAGATTTTCCTTCCACCAAATTATTTCTGTTGGTCTTGATGCTCAACTCTATACCGGGTTACGTCTAGGTACTCCACGTAACAAGGGAGATGAGTAAATGTGAGAACAAAAGAAACTGGGTGTGAGTGTGGGAAGTGAATTCGATAAACCAGAAGTCACCTTCGCCCTCTCTCTCTCTCTCTCTCTCTCTCTCTCTCTCTCTCTCTCTCTCCCCCAGCACCTCTGTTGACGGACGGGACGCGTGTGACAATCTGAGATATCGAACTCGCTTCCCCCAATCCACTCTCTCGTACACAATTTCCTTGTAACATCCATACCGGGATATGTTTAGGGGCTCCATACTATTTTACGTCTACTCCATACCAGGTTACACCTAATTGCTCCATACAAGATTACCAACGGATGAAAATCTACAGATGCCAGTTTTTTCATTTATTTAGCCAGATCGGCATTTGTGCTCTGCCTTCCTTCAGAGGCAAGAATTCGTACAAGTATTTGTACCATCTTGTAAGCATTGAAAACGTGTGTACGTTAGTAAGGAAAGAATCATTGCTGTCGACGCGTTGTTTGAAGTGGTAAGGCATCTTTCTACATTAAATGGTACATTCTTGCAGAAAAGTCACCAACACGAGCGGCGTTCAGGTAGAGTGGAAATATTAGATACAGCGGCCATATTGGTAATTCCAACAAGCAACATCATCCCCAAATGGTTGCCTATATTCACAAGTTTCCCAGTAATTAATACTGGGTATTAATTGGCGGCTAGCTACCACTAGTTAAAAAAGTGATACTGAACGCGCTTTTGTCTCGGTCGTTCTAATCGAAATGAGAAACGAGGAACTGCATTATCCTGAGTACGAATTGACCGCACGCGTATACGGATAAAAAAACTTCCCGCCTTTCCAAATTACATTGTATCTCTAACACAGACATGTGGTAGAATGTCTAGATTGTTCCTCTTACCATGTACTTATCAATTCCCTTAATTAAACCACATGTAAAGAGATAAACCACATGACATTAAATAAATCACATTACGCGATAAACCGAATCCCATTAACCATGAGTAGACAGACTCCTTCAGTATAGAAAACGTGTTATATTAGTAATTTGGATTATTTTATGAAATGTGTAGAAATGTTAAATATTTGTTCCATAAATGTTTGTGTACATCTGTAGTTGGGTAAGTTTAGATAAATAATGTACTGTAAATTTGTCATAATAACGTGTAATGTCTGAAATTATAAACTGTATACTCGAGAATTAGATTTAGAAGCTACATTGATGAATGGTTTTTATAATCACTGTCAGTTGACAAATTCAGAATCTGAAACCATTTCCGGAACAACTTGCACAAAGTTAAAATAATGGCTGAACTAAACGGGTGTACATCAGTCTATGCCAAAAATGTGAAGTTTGATTTAAAGTCGATAACATTTAGCTTACACTTTGAAAGGCGATATATAGTGGAAATATAAAAGTGCAGTTTACCATTAGCAGTGACACATATTTCCACTGTTCGCATTGCAAAAGTAGAATGAGAATATAATTTAAAGGACTAATATAAACCAATCATTCGATGAATTTATACAAAAATTCACACCTTCATCTCTAGACCAACAGATTCTAGGCCCATCCCGGGTCAAAATCCCTCCAGACCCGTAGTTCTTGCTCCGTATGGATCAGACTTCAATAAGACTCCCAACGCCTCTCGGTGAGCCTTTGTGATAGTTCCAGGGGCCCCCCCCCCATGCTTTCTCTGCTGACTAGTTGTCTCATTCCATCCTATACATCTGCCACACCATTATTGATATATATGAATGTCCTATCTTTCTCAAGATGTATTTCCGACGGCCATTCAGCCATATTGGATTAGTGCGGCTCTTGTATTTTCTGTTGCCGGGGGCTGGCGGGTTGTGTGATGTATCATCATAGCTCGAGGGCCTCTGTTATCTGGTCACTAACAGTCATGAGAAAATACAAATGTCACGAGGGGCGGAGAGTTCAGCCTCTCGCCGATAAGATATCGGGCTGATACGAACAGTCTGCGTTTGTTCAACACTTCTTGCTCGGAAATAATCAAAACGCTGTAACCAAAATGTTTCATATACGTAATATATTTACATATACCATTACCTCTTAATAATCCTAGTAATTATGCTGTTAATACAGAATCCTTTCCTAATGTAATATTTGTTTATATAATATATAAAAAATTAGGTTATTGACTCGGTTATGTATAAGTATCCACTAAGAAAATTAAACTAAAATTCCGAACGTTTTCGTGTTTCACATTATCAAGGAAATAGACAGACATAAGAGTTTTGGAAGTGCTGTATATCCAACTACACCTGACTAGACAAAAATCCATAAGCTAAAATATCTACTAATAAGGGTTTTGGCTATTTAATAGATTATAAATTTCTTTTGTCTTGATTTTGTGTATAACATGTAAAGCCTAATGTAATGTCGATGGGGATTAGTAATGATTATCTCGTCTGCTTGGCGTGTTTATCATGTCTATTAACAGGCATTTCCAATTTCTTTGATTGTCATATCACTGCCGAGTGACAGCTGCGATATCTTAGGGGTGACTCGTCTTGATAACACAGCTGTCGAGGAGATCAGCATTTCCGGGACAGTAGACTGTGATAAGGATCAAAATTTCGATAAGTAGCCTACAGATTATGAGACGGAAGCATTCTTTTTTTTTCCATATGTGATGATGCGTCACTTATAACAATCGGTGAGTGACGCACATGTCTGCTTCCCTGTAAACTGAGTTTGAAAGGTTCGCAGTGCAGTGTGAGACACAGCAGAAACAGAACTCTATAACGTCGAAATTAGACCGATGTAAATACAGCAAAAATAGTGTAAAGCCTCATCAAGGAAATATCGTTGCAAACAAGTTTCGTACGAGTGTCTGGTACCTCGCCTTTATCACATAAACCCCCCCCCCCTCCCGTCACTAACATGTCCATCAGACTATTAATTAATTTTGTTGCGGGACAGGCAGCCTGTGTATATATTAGGTTTTTTATCGAGGCCTCCTCCTCCAAGGGTCGAACTACTGACGCTCGTAAAGATGCCACTCCTACAACACGCTGACTAACCCCTGGGTACCTATTTACTGCTAGTTAAACAGAGGCATTAGGTGATTGGTAAACGTGCCAAACTATTTCTGACCCGCCTGGGATTCGAGCTTGGAATTCCCGACTGAGAGTCGAAAATGAACCCAACTATATTACCGTGACTTGTACCAGGAAAATATTCAGACGGATTATTGGCTAATTTTCATTTTAAATTTGCAGGTAGAGTATTCTGTCGGCATTAAATCTGTAGGTGTTCCGCAAATGTAATCTTTACGACGGGAATTAACACTGGCTGCTCGGGGTCGGTCCTATTGGTCCTATTAAGAAGAGGTCGGAGCCAATAGTGGCTCACACATGCAATAATCAGTGAAAGGTGGCTGGCAGAGTCCTTAGATTCCTTCCTAGAAACGATGATCCTGTGTGATGGGGATTTTAGCATCACGTTGCTACCTTTTTGACACGCTGTACTCTCCTTCATATAGCCTAGGGTAGCTGCACAAATGCAGCTGGACCTTAATGTGTTAAATAAAAAAAAAAGTGAAGTCAGAAGGGAGGGGGACGAAGGGAAGGAGAAGGGTAATGTTAGCGAAGAGGAGAGTAGGTAGGTAAAGAGAGGTAGAGGAGATGAGGTGACAGAGGAGATTCAAAAAGGGGGGAAAGAAGATGGGGGGGGGAGGGGATTTAAGAAAAGGATAGGGAAGCGGAGATGAAAGAGGGAAAATGGGGAGACCTGGGCGCAGCCGATTAACCCTTCCTAATAAATCAGACGACCTCGCCAGATGAAGGTGCGTATTTGAGTGGGACGAGAGGTGTAAACATGTATGGCTGCTGCTCGAGGTAATTATCAAAAGGCGTCAAACCCGGAAGACTTGAGTCACAGAACAATTAAAAATTCCTAGATATTATTAAAAAATCCAACACGGGCGCGCAAGGTCATAAGATGATAGAGATCAAAGGTATCGGATTCCCCGAGATTTTATACAGGGACATTTATAATTGGAAAAACATTTGCCTTAGTGTTCTCCTAATCACTGCTAGAGATACATGACCCCAGTACCCAATGTGCAGGTTCGAATTCTGATCATGATTTCTACAAAATTTTCTCGGTGTAATATACAAGACCTATGAATATATATGGCCTAGATGAAATCATATAGGCCTTAATAATCTACCATATCTTCCAAATTGCAAGTATTATTATGTTACATATAATTAAAACTCTGCGATATAAACTCGTGCACTGAAAAAAATATATCAATTGTAGAGAATAAAGTAAGCCTATACTTAATTGATGTGGCGTTGCAGTCCACTTCTCGGAGAACACGGGCAGTACCCGCAAGTACACCTTCCGACGCATCCAGACCTCGACCATCCGGTTCCAGGTGAAGGCTGCTCACGATGTGGCCATCTGCCTCTCCTCTGACAATGAAGAAGAACCGGAGGACATGTACGAGATCTTTATCGGGTGCTGGGGCGGCGGCGAGTCCGGCATCCGTCGTAAGAAACATGATGACGTCTGCAGGATTGAGACTCCAGATATCGTTAGCGGCGACGAGTTCAGGACTTTCTGGATAAAGATTGAACGTGGCGTCATTAAGGTCGGCCTGAGGCTTCTCTTCTGCCAAAGTTTGGCTTATATCTTTGTAAAAAGTATATTTTAAGTCTCCAGAAAGTTCATCTGTTCTTTATGAGATAATAAACAAAAAATGGAAAGTTTCATAACTTGGAGGAAAAAAAACGTTCACAATTAGACTAGTTGTGTAGTGGATGTTTACACGAGTTAACCCAAAAGTTTCCCTCGGGCAGGTGGGACGCTCCGGACAAAAACATCCTTTCATGTCCTACTCCGACCCCGAGACACTCCTCCACGCTACCTGGTATGGCTTCGCGACCGGCTGGGGCGCAGAGGGCGAGTGGATCTTCCCTGGTACGCCCTCAGTCCTGCTTCACCACATGAAACTTGGTATATTGATAAAATTGATAAATATTATTAATGTGCTGGCTAAATTAAAAGCCGTTGACTAGCTTTAGAGAGCCTCTTTGAGTTGGCTGTTGGACTTGTAACGTATTTCTCTCCGGCAGATGACGATGACACATCTTCGTCGTCCTCGTCCGGACTGTCTTCCTCTGACTCGGAGGCGGAAGACATCGACAACCTGGAGGACAGACGTAAGGGAATACACACATGTGCGAATAAATTGGAAAAGTGGAAACTATGAATCTAATCTACAAAATAGAACAAAAATAAGGAAAAAAAACATGTTTAGCCTGTAGAGTTAAAAGAAGGAAAAATATAATAAGGGGAACGAATGATTTTTCTTGGTCTCTTTTAACTTCATTGTCAAAATGTAACATTTACCGATTATTTCTCCTACAACTAGGCTATAACTAGCCAACTAAACATCATAACTTCTCTGATTTTAACACACGTTCTCATGCGATACATTACAACCCAAGAAGATGACCCAAGATGCTGGCTACCATAAAGATACATACACTAAGTTACTCTAGTTGTGAGCTGTTTTACATGGCAATATACTCGTGGGATAGAAAACGCGGTAAATTACGGCCCTAATGAGTCTGACAGTTGACACGTCTTACACCTTAAAATCTGGACTAATCTACTCGCGACGCACCTCGACCAGTGATGATGAAGGCGTGACGCATTATACGCTGGTTGTAAGATTAATCTTTAACCCATGATTAATATTAGTCAACGCCAGTATGGCGTGCCTTTATGGGCCTCGTCTGCCATAAGTTATTAAAAAAAATTAAATTTATTAATATGTCCAATTGCTGATGAGGCGAGGAAGGTTTTGGTTCTTGACTATGCACAGAAGTATTAATTGTATAAAAAAAATTGCCGCAGTAAGGGATTTAATTTACATAGACTAATTAGTCCGATAATTAATTTTTGAAAGTAATTATTCGTATTTCTACTCCATGTGAACCAGGTGCATTTTGTTTTAATAATACAACTACTTACATTCTTGTGGTAGAAGCGTATTCAAATTTACAAGTCATTTCTTATATTTTAAGAGCAATTGACTATTATTAGAATATATGGGAATCTGAATATTTTAGTTAAATGCTTCAACGTAGACCAGTCGGTAGAGCGACGGCCTTGCTTTTTTGCAGGGTCGGTATTCGATCCCGAAGTCCACGTGCTTGAGCACCGGCCCTTCAGTGAGGCCTCGTATCACTTTGAAGTGTTAAGCATACTGATTTAGCGCTTTCTCCTGACTGACAGCTATCCAGTACAAGCGGCCAGCTCGCTGGGTTCCTGCCAAGGGTGGTTACTTCCCCCGCCACCCGGTCTCTGGAGGAGAGGGCCCTGACGGAGAGGTCTTCGTGGGAATGGCTCATCACGAAGGTGGCTACGTCTTGGGCATGGTTGTTCCCGACCATGGCTGCTGCTACATTCCCTACGGGGGAGACGCCATTCCCAAGTCTGAGTACTTTGTAAGTAATAGGCTATGTTTTCTTCAAGTGACCGTCCACTTTTATATTATCTATAGTCTTCTTAAAGTATAGTCTGTTTAATAGATTATCTGCTATGCTATCCATTTGATTTCAGAGACTGGAAGCATTTTTGACATATCGAGATTCTCTTAGCCTAAAGCAAAGTTGTGCATGCGGTCACGCAATAAATTGTTTAGCCAGACCCATTGAGGTTTGTAAACTCTTGATCAACATTTATATATATAAATTTCTGTTTCTCGTATATCGTTATACATATCCAGGTTCTGAGTAACCCAGCCAGTGTGACCCTGACCTGGGAGCCAGGCAGCAAGGGCAACGCTCCTCCGGGGGCGCTTCAGGGCGGAGTCACCGAGGATGGCGAGAGCCTCTTCATTGGTCGCGTCTCCGTCGACGGTGTTGTGTCTGTCGGCAAGGTGGGTGCCCTCCTCTGTTTGTGAAACCCTGATACTGATTACTATGTTATGATGAACTTTAGGCCTGTGGGAGGGAGCAAGCGCATGCAACTGGTTAGGTGTGTGTAATTATCAAAGTGTAATACTGTAATTACCCAAGTGTAGTTACAGGATGAGAGCTACGCTCGTGGTGTCCCGTCTTCCCAGTACTCCTTGTCGTATAACGCTTTGAAACCACTGACGGTTTTGGCAGTAGTTTTGGCCACTACCTTCTCGCTTGGTTTGTTCCAACCGTCTACCACTCTGTTTGCAAAAGAACATTTCCCAATCATTTTTTTCGGCATCTGTTTTCTTAAAGATAAATATACTTGACCTGGTGACCGTCAGGACTCCGGCGGTCTTGCCCACAACCTGGCCATCACTCTTCCTGTGCGTGTGTGTGTGTGTAATTACCTAAGTGTAATTACCTAAGTGTAGTTACAGGATGAGAGCTACGCTCGTGGTGTCCCGTCTTCCCAGCACTCTTTGTCATATAACGCTTTGAAACTACTGACGGTCTTGGCCTCCACCACCTTCTCACTTAACTTGTTCCAACCGTCTACCACTCTATTTGCGAAGGTGAATTTTCTTATATTTCTTCGGCATCTGTGTTTAGCTAGTTTAAATCTATGGCCTCTTGTTCTTGAAGTTCCAGGTCTCAGGAAGTCTTCCCTGTCGATTTTATCAATTCCTGTTACTATTTTGTACGTAGTGATCATATCACCTCTTTTTCTTCTGTCTTCTAGTTTTGGCATATTTAATGCTTCTAACCTCTCCTCGTAGCTCTTGCCCTTCAGTTCTGGGAGCCACTTAGTAGCGTGTGTGTGTGTGTTTGTGTGTGTGTGTGTGTGTGTGTGTGTGTGAGGGCTGCCTCAGTTGTTCCAATCCATCATCCTAAAATTCTATTAACTATTTGGTCCAAAGCACCAAGTACGTAGTGCTTGCTCCCCAAATTTTTATTTTATACTTTTAATTTTAGAGTTCTAGAAAAAGGTAAAATCCAAACTTAAACATTTCTGTGCCCCTAGTATATCACATATATAGGTTCTATATTAGGTCTAATATAACTTGTATTAGTCCTAAGATTGCTAGGACAGCTTGGGTTATAGTTTCATTTGGCATTTAAGAGAATTCAATAGAAATACAGTACTCAAATATTCCCTGGAAAATGAAACAATGTGCCCAGCATCATGTTCAGTCAAATAAGTGTCTCAAATTTAAAAATTCTTTGTACCTTATAAATAAATATACTTTTTCCTGTCAATAGCTACCAATAAGATGTGCAGTGATGTGGCGTTTATGATCTTTTTTTTTCACATGTCTGTCTCCTGCCGCAGGTTCAGCCAAGTCACGGGGTTTGCTACGTGCCCTACGGCGGGAGTGAACACGCCCACAAGGACTACGAAGTCCTTTGCGTCCGTCATGTTCTCTGCAGAACCTAAACCATGTCTTACACACGTCTAAACTGCGTCAACCCTTTTCCTTAAAACCAGCCATGTCCATATGGCATTTTCCTGAAATTCAGTAAATTCATTCAGACACGTGAGAGCCTTTTCTTTCCCGAAGTTTATATAGAATTTCCTTGCCTACATTAACAAGGATATGCATTAATGTCTACAATGATTTGCCTACAATAATCTTCTTAAAACCCTTGACGAGTGTCAAAGATGCTATTAAAGTTTCGTATGGTAGCCTACTAGATAATCAAGCATAAAGGCTTTCGTACGCTCTCTGTTGGTCTTCGAAGCTTAACATGATTGCTGCTTTGACATTTATATCTAACTTAAACTGGTGATGTACTTATTGAGTGTTAGTGTTTGCTTTTGTATTTTTTGGATATAATGTTATAAAATGTCCGCCATTTTTTAATAATATACTAGAATCTGGCTCATAATAATTGAATTATTTCATATTTTATTTAAGCCTTTTAAACGGTTCTGAAATATTCCAAAAAAAATCTAATACTGTGCATGTGAAATACCAAGAGCTATATTATGTGTATATACATATAGCCATATTATATACATGTATGTATATAATATGATCAGTAATATAAAAATTAAAAACACTACATCTTCAATTTGTCAATTATGCGTTTCAAAGATTATATTCCAAAAAAATAGAACACATTTTGCCGAGCAAAAATTAGCTTAAAATCAATAAAAAATTATCAAAGATTTATGAATAATCAGTAGTAATTAAAAGTAAAAAGATAAAGGCGAGAATTATTTACGGCGTAAAATCTGAAATAAACTGTCAAAGAACTGACGACACTCTGAAAACTAAAATTAGCCCGAGTGGACAGTTGAGTCGAGGACCCTGGTCGTTGTGAATAGATTCAGAGATGTTAACGGGTACTCGTCTAGGATTGGTGGTCAATGCAGTGAAATTGACAAGAGTGAGAGGGTGGTACAGTGGCTCCACAGTGATCTATAATAGCCTGGCGGACGGGGAGGGCAAATTTTTTAATAAGGTGTTCCTAAAGTATCGACCGTTTTTTAAAAGGTAAGCTACACCGGGTCTGGGATTTTACGGGTTCACTTTAGTCCGTGCTACATGGACATTGCGTTCTGATTAGCTAAATCTAATGCAATAACAACCGGATCTGAGGTTCTGTTAGTGGGGGAGACCCCCATGGAGGCCTGGGTTCGAATCCTCCGAGGGCTCGTATAGCGACTGATGTATATGTATATATATATTTACACACATTATATTTATATATATATATAATAATTATATATATATATATATATAATATATATATATATATATATATATATATATATATATATATATAATGTGTGTAAATCACGAACGTTAACGTGATAGAAAAATGTGACAAGTGTTAGGTCTCTGTATTTACGTGATATATATTGAGGATTCTGGTCCTCGATATGTAACTTATATGTATTGAATATTAATCTACATTGAGATTACTTTTGTGAGGGACATGTGTAATATTAGGATTAAATTATACAAAAAAAAGATACCCTTTTACATTTCAATTCAATATTTATTTCTTAAGACACAAATAAAAATAGACAGGAAAAAAAGCCACATGACCTTGTTCAACATGTACAGAATAGACATAATGTGGGTTGGCCAGACAAGATCCTGCCGTCTCTGCTGTCATGTTGGGAAACATATATAAACATTTGTTAAAAACTGAAAAATATTCTTGGATACATTGTGGGGGGGAAAGTTTCATACATTTAGTGCAGGTAAAAATCACATTAGGCACGATCCTCATAGTACAATAATATAAAAATTGATTTTGGCTTGATCGGCATACTAGGGATTAAATATTAACGTATAGCAAGGACATAACTTTACAAGGCAAACACGACTTGCGCTACTTTCCCTTTCTTCACTAATACTAATTTGTTTGTAGACAAAGTCCCCCACTGCTCATTTGCTCTCATAAGAAGAATCTACTTTCCGTCTTCAAGTTCAAGTATGTTTATCGAGACGAGAAAATATACATATCAAAGGGATAGAGTAGCTTAGGCTATTTCTACCCCCCACTTTCCGTCTTCTGTGGTCTGTCTCTATATGTTTTTAAAATTTCTGACTTATATTGAGGAAAAATTTAATACATATTTAAAAAAAAATTGCTCTGAACAAATTCTAAAAAACAGTACCAACATGTACATGTATGAAAATCTAGTTTTGCTACTAAATATTTTATTATATAAATGTAAACACTATATAGGTAAATATTTTTATGGCCATATTGTCGTAGAAGAACAAACGACGAAGACGTGTCACAGAAGAAATACATCACATCTTAAAAAATAAGACAGACAGCTACACGAATCACAGCTGTGTATATATGACCTGTCCCACACAGGCTGACAAGCCTACTACAGTCTTACCTTAATCCATGACCATTCATTCATAGGGTGTTCGCTGGCGGCGATATCCACACACAGTTATTTCGCTGAAAGGGAATTATAAAATATATACATATATAAATATTCATATAATTTAGTATTGTTTATAGAATATCTCATTTTGTATATCTTTTTACATATACTAGTTGTATACTGTAGTTTGCTAACATTCTCAACTATTTGTGGTTGGTATACACTTCCCAGTGGGCAGAGTATCAAAGAGTAGCGTTAATTAACGCTGAATGAAAGGTAATTAGCGTTACTCTTTGATTATTGTGCCCACTGGGCAGTCGATAGACATTACAACCAAATCAGCAGAACATCATAAATGTTTACATGTAAGCCTATTACCGAGACCAATTTTCATCACTATATGTAGCCAAAAGTTGATTTAATAGTGTTGCAACGTTACCCATCACAGTACTACAAGTACTCTGATGGGTAATACTAACAAAGATACTTTGCGTTAGTATTTCTTCCTCGGTAAACACACGATCAAATTCTCTCTCTCCTGTTTGTTATTTGTTTAGTTTCCGTTTTACAAAAGCCATTCATTCATTCATTATGTTTAAATATATTAATGTTATTTTTTTGTAAGGGTTTGAAGGAGATACTTTCACTACCTTCTTTTGGATTAAAACTTTTGTTATTGATAATGTAATGAAAGCAGAGAATATTATTTTGAAATAATAGGACAAGGGAAAGAAAAATAGTCACTATTTTATACAATACACTAATACAAAATAAGTAGTGAACCGCTCTCTGCAATGCTTGTTATTTATTAAAATAAAACAAACATTTTTATAACATTTTCGACTATAGTTCTAGGTAACAAAATTGACATATCTATTAACAAATACACGAATTTTAAATCATGCATCAGCACTAGTTTAATTGGCAGATTATCACTAATAACAAATCAAATTCACAGTTAGAAACTTTAATCGAGTAAGAAGTAACTTTGTAGTGAATTAACCAACCCATCCTCCGAATTGACAGTACGTTTTAATACCAAGTGTAATAAGTACATTTCCTGACTGTCATACATAGTACACAATTGCACTTATGGGGCTGTTACATTTACCTCCCCATTTTTGGAGGACGTGCTGGAAGTAACCTAACAGGAGGTGGGACTCACTAGCTTGTTCTCCCTGGCGGTCATAAACTACTGTGACATCTCCAAGCTCCTGTCAGGTTTTCATAATTATCTTGGCTTTTCACTTGGCAAAAGGCCGTGATATTTAATTATATTTGTGTTTTGTAGATTGCCCAAGCACGACTGAGTGAAGAAATTAGCGTTTGTTGAGGTCTATTCTAAAGGCAACAAAACACATATCGGTCTAATATTGAAGATTAGAATGATAGACTTAAGACATTTTGGCAACTACCACAATTATCACTTATATAAAGCTCTAAAACTTCCTGTATAACGTAATGCTTTATACAGTAACATTGCTTATAATTCCTACTTAACTGTTCTACATCTTTGAAAGTCTTAACGTTTACTTGAAGGCCTTGATCACCTATTAATCAAGTAAATATTTACCCTTTGTGTTGTGTTTACACCGTTGCGAAGGCAGATGCAGTTCTTTAAAAAAATTCATAGACTACAAATAGCAATTCTAAGGAAAAAATATACTAATTGTTAATATACCCCTCAGTTCTTCTTGATATGAAGTACACATAAATTTTTTTACAATACTCATATTGAAATTTGGATTATGCACGCTAAGTACGCTTCCATATGGCAAAATAATAAAACAGCCTAGAGTCTAAAAGAGTTTGTAATATAGCTTTCCTGTGAGAGAAGAGTGCACTTGGACGGAATGATAACTAGTTCTGTCTTACCATAGTTCCTGTCTGCCAAGTGTTATTAGTACCCTCAAGCGATACAAGTACTGTACTATTAATACCCTCAAGCGATACAAGTACTGTACTATACTCTTTATAATAAACTGTTTTAACTAATAATGATATATAATCAACAGTTCTTATATTTTTGTTTCGCATCATTGACGCTATAACTAATAGTCAAATTTTGACCATCATTTCTAAATATAGACTAACCAGATACGCCCCAACCCACAAAAATCTCAAAATAAAAAAATCGACTTTTCGGTCCGTCCTGGACAATTAACCAGTCATGCAATGCATTATACAACTAGCCAATGGTCCAGGACGGACCACAACGTCGTCAATTCAATAAATCCACAAGGGCCGTGATGAGGGTTCGAACTTATGCCCGGGATGAGCCCAGACGCTGCCTTTGTCGACTAGGTTACGACATGGTCAAAAGAATTGCAATCGGGAATTCCACTGATTTCACAGAGGAATTCAATTGCACAGTTTTTTTCATTTGATGCATCACGCTATTGTGATTTCTGAGTGTGTCGTCAATTCCTTTATTTTTTCAAATTTGTGGGTTGGGTGTCTAATTTTTAACCCCGTTATTGTGACTTATTGTCTGTATAGGCTGAAAGTTTTTAGAAAGTATTAATTTGTACGGGCAACAAGGATTTAACCTTCTATATCTAACTTGGCTTCATTAGTTACTTTTTATACCTTTTATTAATCCATTTCAAATGAATGTACATAAGGTTACTGGCTATGTAATGTTCGTACCTATTATTGTGGTGATTGCTTTAAGGCAAGTGCGTCTGTGTCTCCCTATAATATTGTCAGTGATCAGGAAATTAATATTCTCGGGAATATTGTTACGAAATTATTGTATACAAATTCAAAGATATAAAACATTTTATTGACTTTGGACATTTGTTCATATATATTACGGATTTGTTTTTTTACACGGGAAACATTATTATAATGACTGAAGTTGAAATATGAATTTTAAACTAACATTAAATTCATCTATAAAGGTAACGCAGTGAAATGAATCTACCTTTATGCGGTTCAAGTTACTAGTAGCTTCCGGTGCATAATAAAGAAAGAAATTGAATTCCTTGTAAGTAAATCTAGACAATATAGATTTTTGTCGCGTATAAACACTGAAGGAATACCTGGCATTGCTGATTAAATAAATCCCTGAACTATATTTTTAACAAATCTCTCACCCTGTCCATGGAGGACAGAAGAAAAAATATATATGCTGTTTAGAATTGTAAATGTGTAGCCACGTCTATAGTAGAAAATAATAATAGTAATTGCTGATTAAATACCTGTGTAAAGTTCATTGTACGTTGGAACAACGTCCAACTACGAGCAATAACACGTATGAACAATTTAAAATATTTACTGACTTATTTAAATATTACTACAGGAAATAATTAGGCTTCAATGCACAGCCGTGAACGTTCGAGTTTTTTTTCACTTCTGTGATAATCTACTAGATAAATTATTTACAGAATATATTCCATATTATCCCATAAACTTTATTATCCGACTGTGAAAAAATACATATAAATATTAAAAGTAAATCCAAAGAAAACATAAATATAAAAAGCAACATATATATATATATTTTTACATAACGTATGTGAAAATACATACGAAACCATAATATTTGGGGCAGTTTATGCACGTAATTATATCGTATAACTATTGCCGTAATGTATGATAAAGTAATGATGGTGGATTATAGAGTGGCGATGATAGAGGGACAACGGCATTGTACACGGCGTAATTTTTGGTAGGTGTGGGCGTAGTTATGAGTGATTGGTGGTAGTTTTTTGATAGGTTTGGGCGTAGTTATGACTGATTGGTGGTAGTTTCTTGATAGGTTTGGGCATAGTTATGACTGATAGGTAGTAGTTTTTTATAGGTTTGGGCGTAGTTATGACTGATAGGTGGTGATTTCTTGATTGGTTTGGGCGTAGTTATGACTAATTGATGATAGTTTTTTGATAGGTTCGGGCGTAGTTATGACTGATAGGTGGTAGTTTCTTGATAGGTTTGGGCGTAGTTATGACTGATAGGTAGTAGTTTTTTATAGGTTTGGGCGTAGTTATGACTGATAGGTGTTAGTTTTTTGATAGGTTTAGGCGTAGTTATGACTGATAGGTGGTAGTTTCTTGATTTGTTTGGGCGTAGTTATGACTGATAAATGGTAGTTCAAGAGAATCACGAGTGCTTGTTTACGACTCTGCACCAAAATATAGATTTATAATCTTGCAACCAACACTCCATTTATTTAAACAACATACTTGCGCGATACCATTAATTTACAAATATGCTGTATATTATACAATACGGGGTAGAACACGCTGCGTGTGTATGTTAACTGCATACACCATACATACACAAAACAATACATGGTATTTACTTAGCCCAACACATGACATATGTTCAGATTAAAGTACACAGTAGGTTGGGCTGAATTAATAGAATTTATTTATTTACCCTCTAGTCTAAGCTCTATTAAGTTTCATTTATAAATGTTATAAATATACTATGGTTATCTCTTAACTCTGTTATGGAAGCTATAACGTTGTTATTAATTTAAAACGAAAAATTAGTGTCTTATCTGAAAATTATTGTGCCCGTTATAAATTTTGTTTTTGTATACACCAGAAAAGTCGTTTTTACATACTAAAACATCTGTTTTTTTTTTACAATTTTAAGGTTTTGAAAAACGGATATTTTAGACTCCTGTCATCATATTCTGTAGATGCAAAGCAAAGATTAAACATAAGTATTCAAGTACATTTCGAATTCTAGCGGTGTTTGTACAAAATAAGTTCATTTATTAAAAATTAAAATCTGTAATTTAGTTTTTTACTTAATTTTTAAAAATAAATGAGAAAACTATATTTAAGGTTGGTAAAATTGAAATAAAAATTAGAATATTGTAGCACCCGTATTAAAACTCATAATCATGTATGATTATAAACAGAAACATCTTGTATAGTAAACAGGGCAGACCACTAACAAGGAAAATTGCAGCCTTTACAATCCTTTCTGTCAGCAGGATTGACACTTGTACACATTGAAGAGATACGAAGCCATTTATCAACTGAATTATCTTTACTAGAAAGGTTATTGAAGGCATTCAACAATTTTCACGGGCTAATGACTAATTTAAGCACTTTAAACAAAGGTAGAAAGAGTTATGAATGTCTAGAACATGAAAACAACAACCCAGCCTCTAACACAATGATACAACTAGCGACAGTACTGTAATGTATATATTAAAAATATGGATTTTGACACTGTCAAACGGTTCATTATTTGGTCTGTTACGACAAGTATTGTAAACACTGAAAAATATACCTCGCTTTTCTGTGCATATATTCACTGAATGTTTACCATGTCCATGGCTAAAGTATTCTTGCTGATTGACCAGTATGTACTTGTGTTGTTGACCAGACCACACACTAGAAGGTGAAGGGACGACGACGTTTCGGTCCGTCCTGGATCATTCTCAATTCGATTGTGTAATCGACTTGAGAATGGTCCAGGACGGACCGAAACGTCGTCGTCCCTTCATCTTCTAGTGTGTGGTCTGGTCAACATTCTTCAGCCATGTTATTGTGACTCATCGCCTGAATGTAGTTGTGTTACCTTTGTAACTCTCAAGAGGTTGACAGGTAATAAATCCAACCACGTGAACCTAGGCTAAGTTATTTTGTTTTGCCATCCGCCGCCGATGTATGTAATTTTGTTGTCACTGGGCCAATATGTAGATTGATGTGGGAAAGAACATGTATTAGGTTTATACTATATTGGCGCTATATATATAATGTCTTATTGGAGGAGAGTTTTGAAGGCTGATTTCTTTGTTAGAACTACTCGCGAGTTTCGTCTTTCTTGTGCTAAAGAATTCTCAAACTACTTTGAACACCTGTTAAAAACTTGGCTTGGGCACCATAGAGTAATAACTTTTATCTAATCTCGATGAGCTGGAGAATATTGATTTACAAATTATGGGCATGTAAACACGCTTACAATCTACCGGTGGAAACCATGCCTAATCATTCCTGTCACTAGGCATCTCTTTCTTAGGATGCACGGCTGCCTACTCATTTAGTGACATTTCTTGCTTATTTCTAATTGGCCCTTTAGGATAACTCGATTCACTTGAAAGACGGCAAATAACGCTGGAAGAAACATGTTATGTTTTAATTGCTTAATACAATTCGGAATCAATTTAATGTACGTGTTTTGTTAAGATTTAACTACAAAATGACCAGCAGCATGTATCTTATCCTCCTGAAATGATAGTGCTTACAGTAACTATTTAGTCGAAAGTACCAATATGTAATGATGGACCTCCAAAAATTTCACTTTTGGTATTTATAGTTTTATAGTCCGGAAAAATAAATCTAAAAATAAATCAAACATTCCTAAGCCTAGTATACCATATATATTTGTGGTATACTAGGCTTAGGATTATCTAGTATACGCTATCTTAGGTCTAGGATTAAACAATTGTCTAGGATTAAACAATCCTAGATTGCTAGGAAAGGATAGGTTAAGTTCTATATTTATGTTGCCTTTAAAAAGTTTCACATTTAGCCAAATTCAGTAATACAAAAGTCAACTTTTTGGTGGTCCATCACTACATATTGGCACTTTCAACCAGATAGTTATTATAAGTTACATCTTGATCAAACCACACACTAGAAAGTGAAGGGGCGACGACGTTTTGGTCCGTCCTGGACCACTCTCAAGTCGAGTGGAGGAGTGTGTGCTTTGGTCAACATATTTCAGCCACGTTACTGTGACTCCTCGTCTGCATAAGTTACATCGTTTTAGGAAGATTGGTTGAAATAAACATATATATATATAAATCTCTCCATGCTAAAATCGTAAACAAATACCGAAGCGTAATTGTAAGCCAAGTATAGTTATAATGAGCAAATCACACACCAGAAAATGGGGAGGCGACTGACTCATCATCTTCTGGTGTGTGTTTTGGTCATCATATCTTCAGCCACGTTATTGTGACTCATCGTCTGCACAAGTATAGTCACATGGGTCAAAAACAGGTTTGTTATTCATCATGCTCTAATGTCGATGAGTAAGTACTGCCGTAAATACGAAAGGAAAGTTGAATGGCTAATGATACTTATACAATTTTTCTTGAGGCATAATTTTATATATATTAAACTGCTATTCAACTTTCCAATCTTGCCTAAGTTTATGATATGTAATAAATATTGGCACAGGATCATTATTATTATTTGCTATAAATCTTGCGGTTAAACTAAATATTTCGTCCTAAGTAAATTCAGTCGATGTAATTTCTCCTAACTTGGGTAATCATCATTCTGTACCAGTTTCCAGTCATTTAAGAGTTGCCCATATATATATATATATATATATATATATATATATATATATATATATATATGTATATATAACCAGCTGTATAGTGTTTCCTTAAATGTAGTGCTTAAACATGACTAGGACCTCTTATTCGAATGTTACCAAAATCTTAGTTTCTAGGTATCATGAATCATTGAGCTCAGCATTTGCCGGATTGCAGCTTTTGAAGTATTTAAATATAATCATGCAACCTTGCTTTGCAATTTAATATGTAATTCTAGATTAACAAATGCTAATTGCTATATTATATTAGTAGCTTTGACAATCGATTCCCGACTGTCTATGTGATTTGGCACCGTACCTTTTCTTTGTCCTTATATCCCAGCTCAAAATCCGTCCTTATATAATATCTAAGTGCTATATAGTCACTCTAACTTAGCGCTGTTTCTTGATAATTATCTAGTAGCTTCTGTATAAAATGTCTAGCATTGCCATTGCTAGAATATCTAACTAGACGCGAGTGCTGTTACTGTAGCACAGGATAGATCAGAACTGCGTGGTGCTGGTACTGGTGGTGTTGAGGGTCGAACTGCCGTCCAGGCTGATGGGGTCCGAGGCGCTGTTGATGAGGTACTTGGTAAAGGCGTTATTGGTGGCGATACTGATGGCGTCCGTGGTAGTGTTGGTGATGGCGTAGCTGACGGGGTCCCTGGGGTGAGACGCTGGGGTGAGCGTGTGGCGCGTGACGGTGCTGGGGGACATACCCGTTGGCGTGGTGGAACTGGGGGTCATGTAGTTGGGCGTGCCGCCATTAGGGGTGGTGATGCTGGGCGTATCGGCGGCGGTGGTGACGGTGGCGTCGTAAAGAGCGTTCTGCGACGGACACGGCGAGTTGTTGGTCGAGGTCTCGTAGTTTGGATCTTCAGACACGATGCTGTAGAGCACAGGGATAGGAGAGGGCGGCTTGCCCCGCTCGTCCCGGACATCCCCTAGCTCATGGGCAGCTGGACATCTGGTGGACACAAACACATAAGAAAACTAGAGAATATTACATACTTGTCAACATTTAACGATCATAGTGTTGCTAGCCTTGCCTTTACATTGATAATTGCTTACTGTACATGATGGTTAAGCGGGAAACAGATTTATCAAATTTTTATCAATTATATAATGATATTCACGAAAGATAAATATAATATAACCAACAAAAGGGAAACAGGGAAGGCAATGAAGTATGTTTAAGATTCACCCCCAATATATTCTTTCCTTAACCCGAGCCTCACCCCTCCCCCCTCCCAATACCTACCTGACGCAGCGCCTGACGAAGATGATGATGCCCACCAGGGCGAAGATGGAGAGGGAGAGGGAGAAGAAGATGATAGAGTTGTTGGCATGGTTCTTGCCCCTCAGATGCGGGCCCGGCGGCGCCTCACTCTCGTTCTGGCGAATATTGATAAGACTAATAACAAGAAGGGAAATAATATATTTTAAGTATAAATTTTAAATATAAATAAAATATATATATATATATATATATATATATATATATATATATATATATATATATATATATATATATATATATATATATATATACACACAGTACTACTAATAATAATAATATTGCTGATACACATAATAATAATGTTAAAAATAAATAACAATAATAATTCATATCTTGTTCAAATGTTATAATTAAATCTATACAAAATAATGCACCTTGTAATAAATTCAATGATTCTATTAAACATTTATATTTATCAAATTTAGGTTACACCTGCCATCATTCAAAATGGAGGATATGGTGGGGGGGGGGATAAGGAAATGTGACCAGTGGGGGTCACCAGGACTGTGATGTTGGTCCTCAGATATATTCGGGATAATAATAAATCGTGTTTGTCACTACATCAACAAAATACAGCTGCCAGATTATGAAATGACCAAGATAAGCAATTGGTTATTGACAGTCAGAGGAAGAGGACTTGTGTGTGTGTGTGTGTGTGTGTGTGTGTGTGTGTGTGTGTGTGTGTGTGTGTGTGTGTGTGTGTGTGTGTGTGTGTGTACAGTAATAATGTCACAAGCTGTAGGTGTGTGTTATGTCACAAGCTACAGGTGTGTGTGTGTTATGCCACAAGCTGCAGGTGTGTGTGTGTGTGTTATGTCACAAGCTACAGGTGTGTGTGTGTGTGTTATGTCACAAGCTACAGGTGTGTGTGTCACAAGCTGCAGGTGTGTGCGTGTTATGTCACAAGCTACAGGTGTGTGTGTGTGTTATGCCACAAGCTGCAGGTGTGTGTGTGTGTGTGTTATGTCACAAGCTACAGGTGTGTGTGTCACAAGCTACAGGTGTGTGTGTCACAAGCTGCAGGTGTGTGCGTGTTATGCCACAAGCTACAGGTGTGTGCGTGTTATGCCACAAGCTACAGGTGTGTGTGTCACAAGCTACAGGTGTGTGCGTGTTATGCCACAAGCTACAGGTGTGTGTGTCACAAGCTACAGGTGTGTGCGTGTTATGCCACAAGCTACAGGTGTGTGTGTGTGTGTGTTATGTCACAAGCTACAGGTGTGTGTGTCACAAGCTGCAGGTGTGTGCGTGTTATGCCACAAGCTACAGGTGTGTGTGTCACAAGCTACAGGTGTGTGCGTGTTATGCCACAAGCTACAGGTGTGTGTGTGTGTGTGTTATGTCACAAGCTACAGGTGTGTGTGTCACAAGCTGCAGGTGTGTGCGTGTTATGCCACAAGCTACAGGTGTGTGTGTCACAAGCTACAGGTGTGTGTGTTATGCCACAAGCTGTGGAAGCGCCGTTGTGAACAAGGAGTTACGCTCGCCATAACTTTAATTGTATTTGCTTATGGTGACCAGCCTAGACCAAGTTTAGAGATTAAATAAAGTTTTGATTACCTAGCTTACCTTTATTGTTAATATGATGTTGATAATGCATTAAATTGCTTCATGTTAATTTATTCCAGCCTTGTTGGCTGAATAGTAGTTCTTGCACAGCCTAATATGCAAAGTTACTTTGCGGGAGAACAGTGAAATAATTTACAAGAATGGTTATTCACAGTTGCATTATATGTAATTTGTATATTGCATTTACAGTAATTAAGGTGATTAATGCATGCTGTTTAATATAGAAACATATGTTTGCCTTAATTACGGGTTGCATTGAATTCTATACAGTATATTGCACCAGGACTACATGTCTTACATTTGCATGTTGATTATATTTTGAAAATTTATGTAGCCAGCATACCCTGTGATATATTTTGATTTACTAATGTTGGGGGAGCTAATGTTGGGGAGCCGGTCGGCCGAGCAGACAGCATGCTGGACTTGTGATCCTGTGGTCCTGGGTTCGATCCCAGGCGCCGGCGAGATTTAGACTGTGTTGGGCTGTCTACCCTTCTAGCTCTGGCCGTACCATAGCTAACCTCCTAAGTATACTGTAAACTTGATGTTCTAGAGTAGTCAGCGAGTGTATATATATATATATATTCTCCCCTCTGAAAAAACGTTGATGAGTTACAAGCAATTTATCCAAAATTAATAAGTCAATATATAATATATGCGCTGGGAGGAGGAGGAGGAGGACCAATTACTGCAAAATTTAGATACCGTCAACTCGTTTATCAAAGGAAGTAGAGAATGTCACGAATATTTAACCTGAGATTGTTCTTCGTGACTGGGGGTGTAATTACGAATTTAATTAATGTTACAAATAACCATAACTCAAGTCAAATTAACGGCACTTTAGGCTTCGTAAAACTACGTCCCAAATTTCTTTTGTCTTTGCTGTCATTTACTTTGGAAATTAGCTATTATTTAAGTTCCATGTACTTAATATTTAAAAGTCAAGGACCAAGAAAGATACCGTAAATTTTTCTCATATACAAGACTATTTATCTATATTTTATAATAATAGTAGATGATACTTATTATGGGAATCAAGAACGAGGAACCTGAGTTCTCTACGATACTAAAACATAACATTGCACTTATAATAGAGTAAGTACTGTTTTGTATTTGGTAATAAATGTACAAAACTGTTGCTTAACAAGAATTTAAACACGTTTCTAAGTATGTCTGAGTCTCAACATAGACTTGGGGGGGTCAGGATTGCGCCTTCATTTGATAATTACTTACTTGGGTTAGGATTAACAAGGCACTTACTTATGCTTCTCCGCTTGCGACACCAGTACTTAACACGATCATTGAGGATTATTAAAGGTTACGAACTACGAAGCCCTACGAGGTTATCCACAGTATTAATAACTTACGGTTGAGGACGATCTTGGAGCTTGTAAACTGTTTAATAAAATACAAACTGAGCGGCCGTGCCCCAGGTGAGAAGTACAGACCTCTTATAAACGGGCATGTAATTGCTCCGTAAATCCTACGGTTTATTAATGATAGCCAAAGAAATAACGGAGGAAATCTCCAAAATCTCTGGAAATAAAATAACCTTGGTAGTCGATATTCTTAAATATTGATATTTACCACCTCGACTCGGGCCTTACTCAAATCAAGATGCCTTAATCTGAGTTATTATTTTAATTTACAAAGTTTTTCCCACAGTAAAGCCTCGATTAAGCCTATGTGAGAATATGCTTAACCGAAAATATGCTAAACCCTTGTTAACATATGATAAGAAAATTATTTAACGTTTTTGCTTAATTAGAATGATGAGACTTACATGCACTAACGCGTAGAGCAGATAAGAACAAAGATATACACGAATAATTCCTACCTTGGACACGAACCAACACTGGCTGCTGCTACTGCAGGAATACGTGCACGTAGGAAAAGGAGCGGGAACACGTGCACATAGGAAGAGTAGCGGGAATACGTGCACGTAGGAAGAGGAGCGGGAACACGTGCACCTAGGAAGAGTAGCGGGAATACGTGCACATAGGAAGAGGAGAAGGAATACGTGCACATAGGAAGAGGAGTAGGAATACGTGCACATAGGAAGAGTAGCGGGAATACGTGCACATAGGAAGAGGAGTAGGAATACGTGCACATAGGAAGAGTAGCGGGAATACGTGCACATAGGAAGAGGAGCAGGAATACGTGCACATAGGAAGAGGAGCAGGAATACGTGCACATAGGAAGAGGAGTAGGAATACGTGCACATAGGAAGAGGAGCAGGAATACGTGCACATAGGAAGAGGAGAAGGAATACGTGCACATAGGAAGAGGAGTAGGAATACGTGCACATAGGAAGAGTAGCGGGAATACGTGCACATAGGAAGAGGAGTAGGAATACGTGCACATAGGAAGAGTAGCGGGAATACGTGCACATAGGAAGAGGAGTAGGAATACGTGCACATAGGAAGAGGAGCAGGAATACGTGCACATAGGAAGAGGAGTAGGAATACGTGCACATAGGAAGAGGAGCAGGAATACGTGCACATAGGAAGAGGAGCAGGAATACGTGCACATAGGAAGAGGAGTAGGAATACGTGCACATACAAAGAGGAGCAGGAATACGTGCACATAGGAAGAGGAGAAGGAATACGTGCACATAGGAAGAGGAGTAGGAATACGTGCACATAGGAAGAGTAGCGGGAATACGTGCACATAGGAAGAGGAGTAGGAATACGTGCACATAGGAAGAGTAGCGGGAATACGTGCACATAGGAAGAGGAGTAGGAATACGTGCACATAGGAAGAGTAGCGGGAATACGTGCACATAGGAAGAGGAGTAGGAATACGTGCACATAGGAAGAGGAGCAGGAATACGTGCACATAGGAAGAGGAGTAGGAATACGTGCACATAGGAAGAGGAGCAGGAATACGTGCACATAGGAAGAGGAGCAGGAATACGTGCACATAGGAAGAGGAGCAGGAATACGTGCACATAGGAAGAGAAGCAGGAATACGTGCACATAGGAAGAGGAGCAGGAATACGTGCACATAGGAAGAGGAGCAGGAATACGTGCACATAGGAAGAGAAGCAGGAATACGTGCACATAGGAAGAGGAGCAGGAATACGTGCACATAGGAAGAGGAGCAGGAATACGTGCACATAGGAAGAGAAGCAGGAATACGTGCACATAGGAAGAGGAGCAGGAATACGTGCACATAGGAAGAGGAGCAGGAATACGTGCACATAGGAAGAGAAGCAGGAATACGTGCACATAGGAAGAGGAGCAGGAATACGTGCACATAGGAAGAGGAGCAGGAATACGTGCACATAGGAAGAGAAGCAGGAATACGTGCACATAGGAAGAGGAGCAGGAATACGTGCACATAGGAAGAGGAGCATTAGTACGTCAACCTATTTTATTACCACCGCTGCTAAGAGAATAAGTTTTGAGCTTATTTGAGTACTTCAATGCTTCAGTAAAGGTTAATTTGGAAAGCCAAGTGTAAATCTATTCATTTGGTTTATTATTTCAAACAATCGGGAACTGGAAACCTGTTAGGCTTATCGAGATCCCCCCCCCCCCCCCTAAACCTTCCATAGGCTTCGGCTTCCATTTACTATTTGGTAAATAGAGACATTTATTAGTTAACAGTTCATTGACTATTAAGTTCAACTGTAGTCCCATCTGGTGAGTAAATTAAATAGGATCATACTTCATTAGTTTACAGTAAATATCCGATGTTTTACTTGAAGTACTTAATAATCTTGAGTATTCAGAGAGGGTAAACTGAAGTAATACTGCAGGAAATGCATTACGATATTTACACGGAAAGTTATATAAATATACTGACATAGGGTTACAATAAATATAGACACTAGGTAGATACAACTGAGGCAGTGTTTCTTACCTTACCATCCGTGATGAAGATATAGTTCCCTTCGTAACCATTGTGGAGTGAGCGGTTTGTCTCCCCTGCAGGCAGGGTGCTGGTGGAGACCACCCCAGACCCTCCACCACTCCCTCGGTCCTCTCCAACAATTGCTTGTATGTTGGGGAACTGGTGGGTGGGTGTGTTGGTGCCACGGAAAGTCTTGGTGACTTGTGTGTTTCTGTGTTGTAGCGTTGTGGTGTGTTGTGTGGCAAACTGCGGGCACTCGGGCGACAGAGATATGTGGTACAAATTTATTTCTTTCGCTACAACGTCCTCGCTTGTAATGTAGGGCGTGTCACCGCACAGAGGAATATTGTTGTATATCGTCTCGTTCATCTTCACTAAGAGATTATCTGTGTGGAGAGCCACGCGTGTCCGCTCTCTCCTCAAGACGACGCCAGTATAGTAACTGAAGGTCACGATCCACGAGCCTCGAGGATCAGAGAATATGGAGTACAACTCACCCGAGGAGCTGGGGACCCAGACGGTGCTCTCATGGTCGGCCTGCAGGGTAAGTAACGTCCGCGTCCCCGACACTGTGTTCAACTTCACCAACCGCAGGGAGGTCCTCAAACTCTCCAGTTCCTGTAGGAGGAAGAGAGCGCCGCGATCATCGCTCCAGCTGCGTATAGTGCGATGTAAATCGAACTGTTTTTCCTCCCTTCCCGGCACCAAGTTCAAAGCAGACCACTTGCCTCTATGGTCCAGCTTCCATAGTGTCTGTCTGTCGATGCTGTCGCTCTTCCCTACGGCAGCTGCCGATCTCCTGGCGGTGGTTAGCAGCCAGAGGGCGTCACGATGTCTGCCACACCAACTGGCGATCACAGATGCCGCTCCCGAAGGAAATACAACCCCCTGATCTTTGTGGAGTCTTCGCCAGGTATCATTTCCGTAGGGCAAGAGCCAGGTGATAGTGGAGGACCTGTTTGCACTATAGAGGGCTACTAGACCATGGGACCACGGGCAGAACGCCAACGGGTCTGTAACTGTAGCTTTATCACCACTCATAACTTGCCCAACATTATCACCAGCAGCAGCGGGTAACGGCGTTGTAGGCTGAGAATGCCGTTCCATCGTGTTCTGAGGGCCTCTATCCTCACCACCTGGCTGAGCCTGGTTGCTATGTTGCCCAAGAGCCTGCCAGGTGAGGGAGGTAAAGTTCAGCACCCACACTAAGCCTGGCGACACCTGAGGCCTGACAAGGGAGGATAGAGAAGGTCATTAATGTTGTTTATAAATGCTACCGGCATATATATATTATTATTATATATATATATATATATATATATATATATATATATATATATATATATATATATATATATATATACACCTAGGTAATTTAAATACCGGTATGTATATTCACAAGTTTGTCTTCTCGATGTTTATATATCAATATCTGCATGTACATCTCGAATGAATCTTTTTTCCTAAATCTACACATTTTTAATGCCAATAGTATATATATATATATATATATATATATATATATATATATATATATATATATATATATATATATATATATATATATATATATATATATATATATATATATATATATATAATCTGCCAGCCCGCCACTGTTAATACAATACCTTATCGAGAGTCAGGAACATTACTGTTTGATTGATTACTTTTATGTGTTAATAGGCATAAATTGTGTCAATAGGAGGGTTACTCAGTAGACAAAAATATTATTCTTGCAAGGCAGGTTTAAGTCTAACATTTGAGGTTTAAAACTCATGCTCTGTGATGATAGAGAATTTTATAAACTCTATGTAATGTAGTATTTCCTTTGTAAATTGATGTATATATATGCCATTTATACTGTACATTATTTAATAAAGAGAGAAAATACAACGCAAACGAAACAAAGGCAATATAGCCTAGTTTGATATATTGGTGTTAGGTTTCAGTCCTATCAGTTGCAAGGGTAATTAAATCTTTCACACGCTTTCTAACTAACCAGAAAGACTCAAAGTAAGCTCGTAGTATATGCATTGAAAAATGGGCTACACCTCTTAGGTATATACACCACATGACTATTTAGAGAAGTGCCTAGAGAACACACCAAAATAACCATAGCCTAGCTCTTTAGAAGTGGTAAGAGGGCATTTAAAGCAGTATAGAGAGGATTGAGCTGCCATACTGGATTGAGCTGCCATACTAACATCGAAAATAACTTACACACACACACACACAAATAATTAATACACAGTGTGCTGATAACCAGTCCAGCTCCGGTACCTGGTTCATGGCCAAAAATCCCCAATATAAAAGCAGTTGGGTTAGTCCCATTTGCGCCTCAAAAGCATTACTGGCCTAGCCCACAATAGTGACACGAGAGCTTTACAAAAGCAGAGAGTATATAGCCTCTGCTTCCTTTATAGCCTTCCCTTCTCACGTGAAATCGAGCGTGGCGCCTGTGTTAGGTTTATGTCCGCCACCCGCCACGCAATTTCAGACTTCCCAAGATGGTTCTTTCACTCTACGAACACAATAACAACAACTACTACTTATTATTTATAAATTTCTTTGCCTTCATGGGGTCACTAAAGTGGGATTAAAACCTCTGTAAAGGATTTAATGAAACATTCCGCTAATTGAAGTTTAGAAACCGCCCATCGCATAAACACACTTGTTAATTAATACCAAGAATTTGGTTTCTTTACTGTGGCTACTGAAGCAGTATTAACTCTGGGTTTAAAATGAGAAATGCAGATTTTTGATACACTCGAGAGAGAGAGAGAGTTAAGGAACTGTGGATGTCGATATAATAGTATTGAGGCCGCAAGCGTAGTGAAATGCTCAGTACAATTGCACTTGTGCACATTGTTATCATCATATGATTATTTTAACGGCGTGTGTGTGTGTGTGTGTGTGTGTGTGTGTGTGTGTGTGTGTGTGTGTGTGTGTGTGTGTGTGTGTGTGTGTGTGTGTGTGTGTGTGTGCGCGCATCATTTTTTGAAAACTGTTATCAAAGAATATTAAACTTGCAATTTACATTTTTTCTTCTGGTGACTTTGAATGGATAGGGAAACAGAGTGCAAATTTTAAAGTTGTTATAGAAAGTATATTTTTATTAGTAACTAACGCAACAGATCCGTCTCCCTTACTAAGTACAACTTGACCAGTGACTTATGTATGCTATTGGTCTAGTAGATAGAACGAAAACTGAACGAATAAAGAAGACATTCAAACCGAGGATAGGACGAACCCAAGACGAGGATTGAACTAGACTAGGATAATTTAAGGGCGAGGATAGGGCTAGCCTAAGACGAACCTAGAACGAGCCCAGGTATGTTGATACGAAGAGTGAACAGCTGGAACTAATGACGAATGTGATTTTAAGGATTTACAAGTAGAGACGGACTTCTGTCTTCATTCACCATATCTCTCTCTCTCTCTCTCTCTCTCTCTCTCTCTCTCTCTCTCTCTCTCTCTCTCTCTCTCTCTCTCTCTCTCTCTCTCTCTCTCTCTCTCTCTCTCTCTCGCTCTCTCTCTCTCTCTCTCTTCTCTCTCTCTCTCTCTCTCTCTCTCTCTCTCTCTCTCTCTCTCTCTCTCTCTCTCTCTCTCTCTCTCTCTCTCTCTCTCTCTCTCTCTCTCTTACCCTCTCTTGTATGAGGTAAGAAGCCAGAGGTTGCCACGGTGGTCCGGGCTCAGGGCAATGGAGCCTCCTGCCTCTCCGCCCCAGCACACCCCCGGCGAGGTTGGCGATGATAAAACAGACGCAGAAGGCGGTGCCGGCGAGGAAGATGAAGGCCCTGGCGAAGGCGATGGCCACGAAGACGTATGTGGAAGCAACGATGGCGAGGGGAAGGCAGCAGAAGTAGACGGGAGGACAGAAGTAGTGCCGAGAGGTGTAACTCTCAGGTCCTGGAAAGCTGTGATGTTGGCCACAGATTTGTGGGATGGGGCGAAGGTGCTTTCTTCGTGGCTGATGGAGGAAGAGGTGAAAGTGGAAGGGTAGGGGGGAAAAGAGGAGTGGAAAAGGCTTTGTGCGGTCTCTAGAGCCGAGCTTCTGAGGGACGTTGAAGTAGCAACATCAACGAAATCTGCAGAGGAAACGAGTTCGGAAGCCCGTGAGAGGGCGGGCGAGGCGCCTGAGAGGTCTGAAGGTGTTTCTGAGAGGGTTGGATACGATTCTACGATCGCCGGAGACGGTTCCGAGGGAGTTGGAGGTGATTCTGAGATTGTTGACGATGGGTTTACGATGGATGAAGGGGCAGGAGAAGACGAGGGTGGTGGTGGAGGTGTCCTTGAGAAGAGGGGGAGGGGGGTAGAACCCTGGGAAGAGAGAGCGCTTCTGGACACACCTGGAAAGAGAGAGATGTTGTTAGTCTTAAGAAACATGTGCGAATATCTCTCCTTTCTCTCTCTCTCTCTCTCTCTCTCTTACTATGCCAATATCATGTCATGCATACGAATAGTAATAACAATACTGAATAAAATGATTTCACACAACAATTCAAAACTTAAAAATTCTCGGATTTATGTAACTGCATCTGCTCCGGATAATCGCATAGATATTGACCGCTTAGCGAGGCTGTAAGATGATTATCGTGCCAACTGCTTCACAAGAGCAGTAAAATTAAAATTACTGCGCATTTTTTTTAGAGAATGAGTTAGGTGATGTGCTGGAATGGGGTGGGAGAGGAGTGGAGATGATGGGATGGGGTGTGTAATGATAGGTGGTACAAGGACATGGAATGGGGGGGGTGGTGGGTTGAAGATGAATTAGAGTAACAAACGAACAACCCATCTCCATCCAGCACCTCGATCCACTCCTAAGTTCAAGTATGTTTCTTGAAACAAGAAAAAAATACATCCCAAAGGGATTGAGTAGCTTAGGCTATTTCTACCCCGCATGACTCCTAACCTCTGAGCCTAAGAACAATTACAATTTGGTTGTATTAAATACAAAACAAACGTTTAGTAACTACATACATTGCTGTTTTATGATTTGAAACAGTGTAGAGAATGTACTGTTAGCATGCGTAACGTGATCCAAATTCTCTCTCTTGAACTCTCTCTCTTCTCCTAATAACACATCACGATTTTGACGTGTACGGTCAAAAACTAATGAGAAACTTAAGGTCAAAACTAATGTACAAAAAAATGTTAGCGGCTCGCGAAATTGATCATTGCAGTTGGTAACGACAATGAAGGAACATTGGAGTTAGTAAGACTATACCAGTTGTAGTGCTAATAGATACACAGATCCAGAAACTGATACAGCAGAAGAGTTTGGGGTGAAAATAGAGAGAGGCTGCCTCGTATGTACCCCCATAGGGCCTCTAATATCTTATGTTCTTCTTTAATGACTCTATAAAAAGTACGCTGAAAATAATAAAGAACCAAGACTATTACTGGAAGAGGGAGGGCATGGAGGGAAGAGGGGGAGAATCGGCCGATAAGATATAACCTTCCTGGAAACTGAGCTCATCCATCTCCTGACACTCTCTCCACCCCCTTCCTCCCACCACACTACATCTCACCCTCCCCTCCCCCCTCCATCACTGCCCCCCCCCCCTCCTTCACAATCTCTCCTCTCCATCCACATCAAATTGACTAATCCCTCTGTACCCAGAGCCTCGCCCTCTGCTTCCCATCGAGTATCCCACTGAACCAATTACTCAAACAAATCCCCCCTTTACCACGAAGGTGCGGCGACTGACAGTGTAATTACCTAAGGGTAATTATCTAATTGTAGTTACAGGATGAGAGCTACGCTCAGGATGACCTGTCTTCCAAGTACTCTTATTTTTTTTGGTCGTATAGCGCATTGAAATTTCTGACGGTTTTGGCCTCCAAACCAGTGTACTCACCTATTTGTGCTTGCGGGAGTTGAGCTTTGGCTCTTTGGTCCTAATGTGTGTATGTGTGTAATTACCTAAGTGTAATTATCTAAGTGTAGTTACAGGATGAGAGCTACGCTCGTGGTGTCTCGTCTTCCCAGCACTCTTTGTCATATAACGATTTGAAATTACTTACGGTCTTGGCCTCCACCACCTTCTCACCTAATTTGTTCCAACCGTCTACCACTCTGTTGTTTACAAACGTGAATTTTCTTATATTTCTCCGGCAGCTTTGTTTCGTTAGTTTAAATGTATGACCTCTTGTTCTTGAAGTTCCGGGTTTCAGGAATTCTTCCCTATTAATTTTATCGATTCCAGTTACAATTTTGTACGTAGTAGTCATATCGCCTCTTTTTCTTCTATTTTCTAGTTTTTGCATATTTAATGCCTCTAACCTCTCCCCGTAGCTCTTGCCCTTCAGTTCTGGGAGCCACTTAGTAGCATGTCTTTGCACCTTTTCCAGTTTGTTGATGTGCTTCTGAAGATATGGGCACCACTCAACCGCTGCATATTCCAGCTTTGGCCTAATAAAAGTCGTGAACAATTTCTTTAGTATTTCTCCATCCAATTCTTGAACACAGGGATGCCTGAAAAATCATTTGAAGTGGAATGCTGAGCTCAGGTGCACATTCTCTCAGAACCCATGGTGAAACTCCATCTGGACCAACTGCTCTGTTCTTACCTAGCTCCTTGAGCATTTTTTCCACTTCATCTCTAGACACCTCTATGTGCTCTATGTTGTTCTTTGGAATTTTTATTGTGTCTGGTTCCCTGAAGATTTACTTTTATACAAACACATTTTGGAATTTTTCGTTTAATGTTTCACACATTTCCTTTTCATTTTCCGTCGCTCTACCGTGAATCTGTTTCCCATTTTCAACCTCTGAATATCATCCTTTACCTGCAATTTGTTGTTTGTGAATTTATAGAATAGGTCTGGTTCAGTTTTACATTTATTCGCAATCCCTTTTTCAAAATATCTTTCTGCTTCTCTCCTCACTGCAGTGTAGTTGTTTCTCGCATCTTTGTATCGCTGGTATGTGTGTGTGTGTGTGTGTGTGTGTGTGTGTGTGTGTGTGTGTGTGTGTGTGTGTGTGTGTGTGTGTGTGTGTGTGTGTAAAATTTTAATCAGTAAAAGCCATTATAAGTCTGGCAACTTCTCAAAATCTTTCTCTCTTGCCCCTTAGGGCCAACAGAGAGAGAGAGAGAGAGAGAGAGAGAGAGAGAGAGAGAGAGAGAGAGAGAGAGAGAGAGAGAGAGAGAGAGAGAGAGAGAGAGAGAGAGAGAGAGAGAGAGAGAGAGAGAGAAAGAGAGGGAGAGAGAGAGAGAGCATGAGAGCAACAATAAGAATAAGTATGTAATAAATATTATTCACATCCGTTCTTCCAACTCTGGGCATTGTGTTGTAATTTTTTGTTTATCCCTGAAGAAAGTGTAATTATTTTGTTTTCATCTCTGGCAACTTTTTTGGGGCGTTTTCTTTAAACAAAATTATTTTGTACATGTGTCGCCAGAGAAGACAGTGTACATAAAGTTGAATTCATTATTATCAATTTTATGATGGGTATTTTAATACCTAATTTTATAACTGCAAATATTTACTTTATAATGTTATTATTGCTAGTAGTAATAAGAGTAATATGATAATTAATAACTTGCGAGTTATAGAACATACACGAGTAATTAAAGCGAGTAAATAAAACATATGCTTGTTGACTTGCTGGTAAGTATATTAGCACATATGTATGGAGATGTGTTCCCTGCTTCGCGGCGTGTGTACAGTGTATTTGAGTGTATTTGTACAGTGTATTCAGTGTATTTGAGTCCTGGACTATGTTCAGGACTAAAGAATACTTACTGGTTGGTCAGTAAGGTATTGTGGTGGCTATTATAACCCCTTTCAGAGGTTGATGGGGGCCTTTAGTCCAACACCTGACCATTTCAGATAGCGGCCATAAAGAGTCATAGAGCTGAAGTCTAACATAACACTTATGCAAACAAATGTTTTGTTTGTAAGAGAGAGAATATGATTAAATGAACAAATCCACAAAGGCCATGACGAGGGTTCGAACCTACGTCCGAGATCATCCCTTTTCTCGGATGCTCATGAAGTTGTGTAGAGAATGATACGCTTATAAAACTATCCTCACTCAACCTTTCAGGGAGAATGGTCTTGGGTACAGGACGGGCATAGGCTTGTCGGGGTCGGCTTAATTTAAATGCTTTATGAAATATTTGCATTTATTACACACAGAAATCACACTAACGTGATGTATCAAATGAACAAATCTTTGTTCATTTGCATTTATAATGCCCCCCCCCCTTCTTCAGGTTTTCATGGTATCAAGTGTAATATATTTAGTGTATTTCACCTAGAGTTGTTAATGCGTCGTAGTAAATTTTCTGATAGATCATACAGTTGTTTCAGTGCTTCTGAATATAAATTTTGTGAGAGAAGGGGAAGGACGAATGGGACACGAGAGGGAAAAAGTGAAGAGGGGAAAAGGGTGGTGGAAAGAGAAGGGGAAAGAGAAACCGGGTACCTTGGCATACCTATAAAGGCAAGAAGCCTTTTATATATATATATATATATATATATATATATATATATATATATATATATATATATATATATATTATATATATATATTATTTATATATATATATATATATATATATATATATATATATATATATATATATATATATATATTCTCTGTCCATGACTACAGTATATTTACTGGCTCGCTGGTCGGCCAGCTGCTGGTGTGTGGAGCATAATTACCCCCATTAATAAGGCATATTAAGTGGAGTAATATTTACAACAAAACGTATATATATACGTTTTGTTGTAAATAAACAAAGTATACTCCAGTACACTCCACTTAATAATGTATATATGTGATTCATCACATGATTGGTGTAGCCAATCAAGTGATGCACTTTGCTGGTATTTCCTGCACTTAATTCGTGAAAATAGGCACTCGCTTTCAATTACATCTGGACATATTGTTTTATTCTGAGTTGACTTCCTTGCTGGTGAATTAATTTGTTGTTGTATTCTTTTTAATTTGCAGCAAGTATATATATATATTTTTTCCCCATCACTGTCTGCATTTCTATGGCCAAGGAAACTATTCTTTGACAAGGTGGAAAACTCAGAACTTTTTAAGAGAAGCGTTAGAACGTCGACTTTACAACGAGCCAACGACAATCTTGTTTTCCAAAAAACAATGTTTTTTTTTATCTTTGTTTTCTATGCTGCAGGTACAAATAGGTGAGTACACTCACAGCACAGAAGCCACAGAGTGCAAGAAGCCTCACTCGTACTGCCAAACACCTGACACAATACTGCATACTTTACCTCTACACCTGAACCACACATGTGGCCATCCAGACAGGGCAATTGTGCACACACACACCTGTCACAGGTACAGCTACACTGGTCCCCCCCATCCTAAGTTATCCTTGCCTAACCTAACCTTACTTTTAAGCTAATATAGTCTCATCTAGCCTCGCCTAACTCAACCTTAATAAATAAGGCAACCTAATCTAAACTTATTTAACCCAACTTTACCTAAACTAACCCACTTTAGCCTAATAATGTCTCTCTTAACTTAAACTAATCCAGAAACGTTAATGATAACGTTTTTCGTAGAAAATTAACACTAAACAATGCATATTTCACGTGGATCTCAATAGCCAACGAAATACATAAATTTCACGAGAATTTGCAATTGTCAGTCTCTTCAAATTATAAGACTGTCAGCTATTATAGCTCTCTACTTGTGTAATAATCCTAAAATAATTATACAAATCGGCATCAGTAAAAGTAGTTGATTATTACTTATTGGCATTAAATACTGTGTATTTAGCCTAATTAATAACTCTTTAGGCTAATTGATAAATTAATTCCAGGCAAGTCCTTGAGGAGGCGTGGAGAGACAGATTTGCTATCCCCATTGAAAGTAACAGTAATGCTGGTTGACGGTGTGGTTAAGGTCTGGTTGAGGGACACTACCCTAAACAGCTCCAAGTTACTAACCAATCCCACACAGCACAAGAAATTAACATACTTGGCATATTTCACTACAGAGATATCATGCCCACTCTGCCCTTCATTGCGTGTAATAATGTGTTCATAGTTCCAATATTGATTGTAAAACGCTTATATTAGTTTAAACAAAAATCGAACTCCAGCACAAGTTATATCTTTGACCGACAGAGACACACGACGCTAAAGACACTCCCCCACGATCATATATAATACGATTCCATAGAAAGTCTCGGCATCTGAGACGTCGTCGTCCAGTCCTTAAACACAACCACACACACACACATACGCCAAGATTCTCGCATCTTAGAAGGGATAGTGGGCAACTCTTATTTGTTTACATTCTCTTGGCGGGAAATGTCTGATGACGGGAAATTCTCTTGGCGGGAAATGTCTCTTGGCGGGAAATTCTCTTGGCGGGAAATGTCTCGTGGCGGGAAATTCTTTTGGCGGGAAATGTCTGATGAAGGGAAGTTTTTTTGGCGGGAAATGTGTGATGACGGGAAATTCTCCTGGCGGGAAATGGCGGGAAAACAGATGACGATCGTGCCAACCGACGCTCGCAAATTCCCCGCAGTAACGAACAGGCATGTGGCATAAAGTGCCTCTCTAGTGCCACACAGTGACACTGCGTATTGATGCAAACTAAAATAAAATATTGGAATTGTAACTTTTTTTTATTTTTTGAATCTGAACGCGGGTAATATTCTTCAGGATCCCTGTTATTCAAACCATTTTTAAAATATATAAATTAATAACAGTTTGGAAGCAATAAAATTAGGATGCTTTGTTAAAAATAATTTTGGTAATTTTGTTGTCCAATGTTACTTTACTAAATTTGTCTAATGAAAGTGACTCACCCTAATAATTATATTATCGACCGTGTTCAAAATCAAATTTATTGACACCGTCATTAAATTGTTTCATTCATTTTCATGTATTGTATTATTATTAGTTGATTGGTTCACATTTGAGAAGAAATGACCATAGGCGTTCCCTATTAACACGAATGATCATAGGAGTTCTATCGTATTAACATAAATGATCTCAGTCCTAGTTTAGTGATGCCACACAAGATAAAAAGGCTAGGTGCCTGACAGCTGAGCGGACAGCGCTTCGGATTCGTAGTCTTGAGGTTCCGGGTTCGATCCCCGGTGGAGGCGGGGACAAATGGGCAAAAAGTTTCTTTCACCCCTGATGCCCCCCCTGTTACCTAGCAGTAAATAGATACCTGGGAATTAGACAGCTGCTTCCTGGGGGATGTGTAGCAAAAAAAGGAGGCCTAGTCGAGGACCGGGCCGCGAGGACGCTAAGCCCCGAAATCATCTCAAGATAGGTTACTATTTTGGTCTTTGAGAAAAAATAAAATAAAAATTGATTCAGGACATGTGCTCCACGGAGCGCCATCACAGATTTCCGATATATACTACATATATAGTACATATATACTACACTATATATTCTTCTTTTGATAATTACTTTCAGTATATATTTATTAATTCAGCAACTGGTCAGAAACCAAAGTATGAGAACGCTGAAAAAAGCCCAACTTCAAATTGGTCTAACGGTTATTTTTTTGGTCCAACCAGTTAACTGGACGCGTTACAAATATGGATAACCAATCAAATTTGAAAAGCAAAATGA